CCCCCCCCCGCCCCAGGAAGAAACCCCGCACCAGCTCCCTCCCCCCCCAAGGAATCATGGATCGCACCCTTCCGGAGGAACTCCCCCCAACACTGTCCCCTCCTCCTTCCCCCCTTCCCATACCCCTGTCCAGCGCCCGATCCCCCCCTTCCAGAGGAACCTCCTCCCCTCTCACCCTCGCCCCCTTGCCCCGTTCCCTCCCCCAGTTCTCAGGCGGTGCAGCTGCTACAGTCAAGACCAGGCCAGGAGAAGACACTGTCTTGCAGCAACAGGATCTGGTATAAGGGTGGGAGCATAACCCGCTGAAGCTTTGACCGAAGGAGCGACACAGGAATACGAGCAGCATGAGAGCCCAGCAGGGGCCCAAGCGAGACTGACACAGACAAAGACTGATCAGCCGGAGAGCCATCAAAAACAGCCACCAAGACAGACAATCACACAAGGGGACCACTAACACCTGCACAGTGTGTTCCCGGGCGGTCCTAGGCGCACTTGCAACCTACACCAACAATCTCTGTATTGTGAACTCCCAGGAACCTCACAGGAACAATCTCTGAGTGGGGCTACAGTCTGAAGGGTGGGGGTTGGGGAATGGAAGATCAGTTTGCCTGCATGAACTGGGGATCAAGCATAGGAGATAGCACAGGGATCCAAGACTGAGTAAACAAAAGGTTCATTGCAGAGTAATTGGGAAGAAGCGGAACAGTCACAATCTGTTCCCATCCCTCTTATAAGTAACTACAAGACCTGTGTCTACTATCTCTTTCCTTACGCTATCATTCGGGCAATGAATCTAGGCTGCTACGTAGTTTTGTTAGTTCTGCTAGTTCTGCCAGTCAAGTTTTTTCTTGATAAGTAGGACCTGCAGTTTTCAGTCGATTCACTCGTTCAGTCATTCAGCCTGTACAAGCAGGCAACTACAGTGTTCAGGGACGCTGGACCCGTTTTCCAGCAGGTGTTGCTCCCCACCAATAGATGGAGCCTCCCCGTGAGTGTTAGTGGTGCCTGCTCTTCTTATCAGCACCCTTAGCATCAACCCGGGCTGTTCATTGAAAAAAAAAAAAAAAAAAAAAGAGGATTTCAAGTGTGGAAAAGCAGGTGGCTCGAAGCCAAGCTGGAAGAGGCAGGCTCACACCGTAGCAATTCTTTTTTTTTTTTTTTTTTTTTTTTAACATCAGAGGGGATGGGTAAGAGCCTCCCATATTAGCAGGCACTGAAGGTTGATGGCTCCTTTCTATTGGTGGGGAGCTGCGCCTGCTGGAAATTGGGTCCAGGGTCTTATGAGCAGATTGAACAGAAGGAGCAAGTTTGTGGACTGCCTGATGGGGAATGAAAACGGTGGCCAGAAGCATGCCCAAAGCTTTGCTGTGGTCGTGGTGAGTGGTTTTCTCCCCCTTGCACCGTGGTCAGGATACACGATGGAAGCACTGCAGCTCGATTCTTTTCATAGGAAAGGTATGCACCCGCTCCATAACGGGGGCTCAGGCAGTTGATCGGGGGGAAGGATGGGTTCGGTGGGTTTGGGATGTCTTTTGATTGCTTCACTCTTTTGAGTAAACATTACCTGCCTGGGCCTCTCCTTGATCTGTAGTTTCGCCCTGTTTTCCCTCGCTGTTGCCTGCCTCGCCTGTCATTTTCCGTGGTCTGGCACTGGGTGGGCGGCAAGATGGAGGTGGGCGAGAGGAAGGATAGTTGATTGGGTGGCGGATAGGGGGAGGGCAGGAGATAGGATAGTCAATAGGGGATGGCCAGATCGCTGCTTGGCGAAATGGCAGGGGGAAGAGCATGCCAGTTGATCTGATAATTTATGGCAGATGCTTGACAATAAGAATGATATGTGTCTTCAGCACCGTGTTCTGCCCTTCAGATGTGGCTGTCTTTGCTCGCTTGCCTCAACCGGCTGTTCTGCTCTCTGTCATCCTGAATGACTGACGTCGCTTGCTGTTTTTTTACTGTTGCTTGCCTTGACGGGCTCCGAGGATAGTGCAATAACCCACGCAGTATGCCTCGTGGAATGTCTGAGAGCCTTGCCAGGCCGCACCCAGACCCAGGCCGAAGGGGGAAAAGAACCCCACGTAGAGATTCGGGGCCTGGACGAGTGACAGTTGACTAAAGTCAACTGTCGGACACCCAACAGTCAAAGTCAAAGTGTACCCAGCCCAGGCCACCGGTCAGATGCACACACTTTTTTGTATGCAGGTACCCAGACAGCATCAGTACCAAAGGGAAGTCTGCAACTGTACACAATCCAGGCCCTTAGCTGTGAGTCAATCTGTACGACTGTGGGTGGGGGACCTGAGGCCAGACAGCCTCGTCAAATGTTACATAAGGCTTGGTCTCCAGGGGGATCGACATTCAGTCTTGCTATGCTGCCTTGACGCTGGCTGACGCTAGCAGAGCGCTGGCTCGACGCTGGCTGACGCTAGCAGAGCGCTGGCTCGACGCTGGCTGGACACTGGCTTGACGCTGGCACTGTGGAGGACGACGCAGGACTGTGGCGATATGCTGGCGCCTTGTTTCTGTGCGCCAGCCAGGCCGATGTGGCGCATGCCACTTGTCTACATTGCTGATGTGGCACATGCCACTTGTCTACACTGCTGATGTGGCACATGCCACTTGTCTACATTGCTGATGTGGCGCATGCCACTTGTCTACATTGCTGATGTGGCACTGCCACCTATCTACATTACATTGCTGATGTGGCGCTGCCGCCTGTCTACATTACATTGCTGATGTGGTGCTGCCACCTGTCTTCATTGTTGATGTGGCGCATGCCACCTGTCTGTACTGCTGACGTGGCATTGGTCACGCTGCCTACATGAGGTGACTGGTTACGACAAGGAGGGAGATCAGGATCTGTGGATGATTGGGATATGGTACTCACCTGAGGGTGACGTCGATACCGTGGTCTGCTGTTGTCTTCATTGGCTCCATGAGTTGAAAGTGCTACGTGGCACTTCTGTGTGATGAGGACTCATCAGACTTGTTACTGTATATTGGTTGTTGATGTGGAATCGAGGGGAAGCCCGAAGAAGGAGACGGAATTGATTGGGCTACTCTTGTGTGGTCATTGATTATCTCTTCCACCTTCTCCTTTGTCTATCCCCCGTCCACTCTCGTCGTCTATTGGTAACGAGATGTTGTATCAAATATCATTTTCAGGTCAACTGGAGACATTGTGGAGATCTGAGACTACTTGTGCGTCAACGCCTGTTGAGTATCTTCCAGTCTGGGTTCATTGCACTTTGGTATCAGAGCATATCTCCTTCATTGCGATCTGCTGTCAGGTGCTGATGTGGCACCCAAGTAAGTGGGAGGGGTCGTACGTGCACGAGCGAAACATGTTTATTAACGCGCGCGGTTAATACCGCAAGTCTAGACATTGAGTACCGCAAGTGCGTGCAGCCTCCCTTGAAGGTGATGGCGTGGCTACACTGAAGACTTCGAGATACCGGCGAGAGCTCTCTTGGCAACAAGCTGACGTGGCGCTGGTCAAGAGAGAGAATATTGGGACCGCTGATGTGGTGCATTGCTTACGTGGCGTGATGTAGGAATGCTGATGTGGCATTCTCTACAAGCAGGGCATGGTCTGACATGGCACGCACTTGTGTTGCGATTGCTTGCTGATGAAGCGCTGCACACTTGAAAGCTGACGTGGCATGCCAGTGTTGTATGTGTCGCAGACGTGCATTGCTGACGTGGCATCCCCCTCGTAGACCTTTCAGATCCTTGACGCTGAAGTGGCAGACTCTATAGAGTTGCTGTGTTGGCATTCCAGGGGTGACACGTGGCATGCATGGAATGCTGCTATGGGTGTGTTGATTGCGCACTTGTGTGCTGGCAGACGGTACGGCTTCACGATTTGTTGTACTGTTGAGTGTTGGCCCTTGTGTTTGGTTGCATTGTTTCTACAGATGGTACAACCGTAGAGGAAGGAAGGCTAACAATTGATTGTTGTGGTTGTGTTGGCTTTCCTACTCACCTGTTGGCTGTTCT